GCAGCCCGTGACTCCCGTGATCCGGGGCAGGCGTGTCGGTATACGACCCAGGTCACGACCCAGGTCACCCGTGACACAGACGTGTTCTGGTGCTACAGGACTCCACCTGTGGCATAATTGGTGGTGACTACACCCGTGACTACATCCGTGACCACATCCGTGACTATCCCATCCGTGACCACCCCTGTGACAACACCAGTGTCACACACTCTGCGCATAACACCGCAGCCCGTGACTCCCATGATCCGGGGCAGGCGTGTCGGTATACGACCCAGGTCACGACCCAGGTCACCTGTGACACAGACGTGGTGCTACAGGACACCACCTGTGGCATAATTGGAGTGACCACCCCCGTGACAACCCCTGTGACAACACTAGTGTCACACACTCTGCGCATAACACCGCAGCCCGTGACTCCCGTGATCCGGGGCAGGCATGTAGGGATACGACCCAGGTCACGACCTAGATCACCCGTGACACAGACGTGGTGCTACAGGACACCACCTGTGGCATAATTGGTGGTGACAACCCCCGTGACCAGCACTGTGACCACACCCGTGACTACCCCCGTGTCCACACCCGTGACAACACCAGTGTCACACACTCTGTGCATAACACCGTAGCCCGTGACTCCCGTGATCCGGGGCAGGCGTGTCGGGATACGACCCAGGTCACGACCCAGGTCACCTGTGACACAGACGTGGTGCTACAGGACACCACCTGAGGCATAATTGGTGGTGACCACCCCCGTGACTACATCCGTGACCACCCCCGTGACAACCCCAGTGTCACACACTTAGCGCATATCACCGCAGCCCGTGACTCCCATGATCCGGGGCAGGCGTGTCGGGATACGATCCAGGTCACGGCCCAGGTCACCTGTGACACAGACGTGGTGCTACAGGACACCACCTGAGGCATAATTGGTGGTGACCACCCCCGTGACTACATCCGTGACAACCCCCGTGACAACCCCTGTGACAACACTAGTGTCACACACTCTGCGCATAACACCGCAGCCCGTGACTCCCATGATCCGGGGCAGGCGTGTCGGGATACAACCCAGGTCACGGCCTAGGTCACGGCCCAGGTCACCTGTGACACAGACGTGGTGCTACAGGACACCACCTGTGGCATAATTGGTGGTGACCACCCCCGTGACTACATCCGTGACAACCCCCGTGACTACATCCGTGACAACCCCCGTGACTACCCCTGTGACAACACCAGTGTCACACACTCTGCGCATTACACCGCAGCCCGTGACTCCCGTGATCCGGGGCAGGCGTGTCGGTATACGACCCAGGTCACGACCCAGGTCACCCGTGACACAGACGTGGTGCTACAGGACTCCACCTGTGGCATAATTGGTGGTGACTACACCCGTGACTACATCCGTGACCACATCCGTGACTATCCCATCCGTGACCACCCCTGTGACAACACCAGTGTCACACACTCTGCGCATAACACCGCAGCCCGTGACTCCCATGATCCGGGGCAGGCGTGTCGGTATACGACCCAGGTCACGACCCAGGTCACCTGTGACACAGACGTGGTGCTACAGGACACCACCTGTGGCATAATTGGTGATGACTACACCCGTGACTACATCCGTGACTACCCCAGTGACCACCCCTGTGACAACACCCGTGACAACACCAGTGTCACACACTCTGCGCATAACACCGCAGCCCGTGACTCCCGTGACCCGGGGCAGGCGTGGCAGGTCACGACCTCAGTGAACTACAGTTCGTGATCTGAGGAATAACCTGGTGTAGGGACACCAGATTCCTACCTTAACACTTTGCCGTGGGGGCTAACACTTTGCCGTGGAGGTGACTAACACCTTGCCGTGGAGGTGACTAACACGACCTTGGTTTTGCGGGCCTCTCGCTCGCTAGGTTCTGCAGGCCTCTCGCTCGCTCCGTTTTGCGGGCCTCTCGCTCGCTAAGTTTTGCGGTCCTCTCGCTCGCTCGTTTTTGCGGGCCTCTCGCTCGCTAAGTTTTGCGGGCCTCTCGCTCGCTCTGTTTTGCGGGACTCTCGCTCGCTCTGTTTTGCGGGCCTCTCGCTCGCTAAGTTTTGCGGGCCTCTCGCTCGCTTTGTTTTGCGGGACTCTCGCTCGCTCTGTTTTGCGGGCCTCTCGCTCGCTCTGTTTTGCGGGCCTCTCGCTCGCTTGATTTTGCGGGCCTCTCGCTCGCTCGGTTTTGCGGGCCTCTCGCTCGCTAAGTTTTGCGGTCCTCTCTCTCGCTCGGTTTTGCGGGCCTCTCACTCGCTCGGTTTTGCGGGTCTCTCGCTCGCTAAGTTTTGCGGGCCTCTCGCTCGCTCGGTTTTGCGTTCCTCTCGCTCGCTCTGTTTTGCGGGCCTCTCGCTCGCTCTGTTTTGCGGGCCTCTCGCTCGCTCTGTTTTGCGGGCCTCTCGCTCGCTCCGTTTTGCGGGCCTCCCGCTCGCTCTGTTTTGCGGGCCTCTCGCTTGCTCGGTTTTGCGGGCCTCTCGCTCGCTCGGTTTTGAGGGCCTCTCGCTCGCTCGGTTTTGCGGGCCTCTCGCTCGCTAGGTTTTGCGGGCCTCTCGCTCGCTAGGTTTTGCGGGCCTCTCGCTCGCTAGGTTTTTGCGGGCCTCTCGCTCGCTAGGTTTTGCGGGCCTCTTGCTTGCTAGGTTTTGCAGGGATTTCGCTCGCTCGGATTTGCGGGCCTCTCGCTCACGCAGTTTTGAGGGCATACTGTTTGCGTGTTGTTAGTCACCCCCACGGCAAAGTGTTAGTCCCCCCATGGCAAGTTAAGTGTTACTCCCCCAATGGCAAAGTGTTTGTCCCCCCTCTGCAAAGTGTTAGTCCCCCCCAACGGCAAAGTGTTAGTCCCCCCCAACGGCAAAGTGTTAGTCCCCCCCAACGGCAAAGTGTTTGTCCCCCCACGGCAAAGTGTTTGTCCTCCCACAGCAAAGTGTTATTTCCCCCCCCCCCCAACGGCAAAGTGTTATTCCCCCCCCCCAACAGCAAAGTGTTATTTCCCCCCCCCTAACGGCAAAGTGTTAGGAGCGAGTGGCCAAGAGTATTCATCTAATTGTGCTTATGGGGGTTTGGCTCTTTCGGCTCCCTTCCCATCTGTCATATATCAAATTATTATTTTTTTGCCACAAAACACACACACACACACACACACACACACACACACACACACACACACACACACACACACACACACACACACACACACACACACACATACACACACATACACACACATACACACACACACACACACACACACACACACACACACAGGTGTAGGTAGCTCCACCACTACTATCACCAGGTAGCTCCACCACTACCATCACCAGGTAGCTCCACCACTACCATCACCAGGTAGCTACACCACTACCATCACCAGGTAGCTACACCACTACCATCACCAGGTAGCAACACCACTACCATCACCAGGTAGCTACAACACTACCATCACCAGGTAGCTACACCACTACCATCACCAGGTAGCTCCACCACTACCATCACCAGGTAGCTACATCACTACCATCGCCAGGTAGCTCCACCACTACGATCACCAGGTAGCTCCACCACTACAATCACCAGGTAGCTCCACCACTACCATCACCAGGTAGCTACATCACTACCATCACCAGGTAGCTCCACCACTACCATCACCAGGTAGCTCCACCACTACCATTACCAGGTAGCTCCACCACTACAATCACCAGGTAGCTCCACCACTACCATCACCATGTAGCTACATCACTACCATCACCAGGTAGCTCCACCACTACCATCACCAGGTAGCTACATCACTACCATCACCAGGTAGCAACACCACTACCATCACAAGGTAGCTACAACACTACCCTCACCAGGTAGCTACAACACTTCCATCACCAGGTAGCAACACCACTACAATCACCACGTAGCTACACCACTTCAGTCACCAGGTAGGTACATCACTACCATCACCAGGTAGCTACAACACTACCATCACCAGGTAGCTACACCACTACAATCACCAGGTAGCTACACCACTTCAATCACCAGGTAGCTCCACCACTACAATCACCTGGTATCTACACCACTACCATCACCAGGTAGCTACACCACTACCATCACCAGGTAGCTACACCACTACAATCACCAGGTAGCTACACCACTACAATCACCACGTAGCAACACCACTACCATCACCAGGTAGCTACCCGACTACAATCACCAGGTAGCTGCTCCACTACAATCACCAGGTAGCTACACCACTACCATCACTAGGTAGCTACACCACTACCATCACCAGGTAGCTACACCACTACCATCACCAGGTAGCTACACCACTACCATCACCAGGTAGCTACACCACTACCATCACCAGGTAGCTACACCACTACAATCACCACATAGCAACACCACTACCATCACCAGGTAGCTACCCGACTACAATCACCAGGTAGCGGCTCCAATACAATCACCAGGTAGCTACACCACTACCATCACTAGGTAGCTACACCACTACCATCAACAGGTAGCTACATCACTACCATCACCAGGTAGCTACACCACTACCATCACCAGGTAGCTACACCACTACCATCACCAGGTAGCTCCACTACTACAAAAACCAGGTAGTTTCACCACTACCATCACCAGGTAGCTTCACCACTACCATCACCAGGTAGCTTCACCACTACCATCACCAGGTAGCTCCACCACTACAATCACCAGGTAGCTCCACCACTACAATCACCACGTAGCTACACCACTACAATCACCAGGTAGCTCCACCACTACAATCACCACGTAGCTACACCACTACAATCACCACGAAGCTCCACCACTACAATCACCAGGTAGCTACACCACTACAATCACCAGGTAGCTACTCCACTACAATCACCTGGTAGCTGCCAGGTGCGTGTCGTATTTCTGCATGTTGTAACACATCTCATTTCCAAACATTAGCGATGAACAATACAGCAACAAATTAATAATATTCTGTAAAAAACAAAATACTTTTCAGAAAAAATAAAACATAAATAATGAGTACTGATAGAATCAACACCTCCATGATGATGGTGTTGGCGGTGGTGTGTCGTGTGTTGTGGTACGTCTGGGGTGTGGTCCAGAACCACCTCCGTCTGCGCCTCCTCTAGCGGCAGTACGACTCCAGCTGGCGGGGACTGTTGAGTAACGTCCCCCTCTTGAAGGTGATTGTCCCTCCACGCCCCGGGACCTTCACGACCCCCTGGACCTGCTGGACCATGTCCAGTTGCTTCGTGACGGGCGTCCTCGAGGTGACCGTCTGGTGGGCCTTCATCAGGACCCTTAGTATCTATTATAGACTGTGGGTTGGTTGGTGTTGTCGTCGTTGATCCTTCTCTATGGACAACCCAACCCACAACTCGGCAGAGTGCTTATACTAGGAGATCACCCTTGGCGCTTCTGGCTCTTGGAGAGGGGCTCAACGTCACACGTTTAGGGGATGCGGCTCCAACACTTAGCCTCGTTGTCACGTGCACACACCCACTCGAGCCGCTGTGACTCCCCACTCTCTCCTTATGAGATATGATCTCCTCAATCCCCCTATGACTTACTAGTATTACCTCCTACCCTGTCCACAGCAGTGGTTCGTGGTTCTTCCTCTCTCTCTCTCCTTCTTTACTACCTCCTGGGAAGCCTCACTAGGACAAGGGCAAACGCCAGCAAATTGTGACACATTTACTGAACAAAGCACATACACGATACATACACACACATAATAATAATGAATCCTATACTCTATAATATCACAATCAGGTTGCACTCCAATACCATCAGAACTCTATTATCAGCTTATCAAGTGGTATCCTACCTCCTGGCTCACCACCTGATACTATTAACCTCCTCAAGTTGGTCAAGCCTACACACTGTTGCACCATCAACAAGATAACATATATATATAGAAAATCAGCATTTGAATGCAATAACATATACCAGTATAAACGTTCATTGATACTTCAGTATAAAAAACTCCTTGACATAAGGATGCCAACAGTCACTCACCTCTCACTGCGTCTTGCACGCTACTGACAACCAAACACTATCAACTCCCTATAAGTAATCCACCAGAACTTCCCCCTTCCACCTCTGGAAGTTCACAACCCTAATATCCTTAGGTTCTTCCGGGCTTCACTACCAGGATCCTCTGCAGCTCCTCCAGGCTGCTATCATGAAGTTTCCTTGTGCAACTACGGTGCTTCACCCTTCTGTTAGGTTCTTCCACAGCTCTCTTGGCTGCTACACCACCTCTACAGAAGCACGTGACACTCCTCTTCACTGCTGCTTCTCCTCACAGCTCGAGGTCCTCTGCTCCACTACCTTTGGAGTCTCATCAATTACTTCATCTGCTGGCTTCGAAGTTCTCAGCAACTTCTTCCCCAAGGGCAAACCACAGATTAACTGGTCGAGGGCGCTTTTCCTCTGACGGCGTCTGGTCAGGGCGCTCCACACAGCCCACAATAATGCTTCTGGGCGATTTAATATCTGCTCGTCGACCAGGACTTGAGACCACAACGTTCCCAGCTCGATTCCACAGCTGGTACGTCTGCACACTTCTCTTCTCTTAGAGATATATCACTAGGGGTTCCCTTCTGACGGGAGCTCAAACGGAGCGCGGCTTCCCCCTGCGATGTCTGGCACTCAAGTGAGGTCAAGGTCCTCCGGAAGCGAGCCTCACGCCTCCAGCAAAATGTCCACATCTCCTAGCCCGTCATTTATCTATTTTCTTCTGCATTGCCCATAATCTCAAACTGTTACACATATCCAAGCAACTATTTTACATATGCGTTATCACCTCAATACTTGCTAGACCTTCTAGTTAGGTCAGGCTTGCTGAATAACTCTCAAGAAGGGAGACTCGTTTCTCCTGCAGGCTGAGATCATAACATATCCTTCTCGACCTGGACCCAGTTGAGTCCTAAGTGAAGGAGACGGAGTCGACGGGGCCACCTCCAGTGACCCCACCCGTGACCACCCCCGTGACAACACCAGTGTCACACACTCTGCGCATAACACAACAGCCCGTGACTCCCGGAATCCGGGGCAGGCGTGTGGGGATACGACCCAGGTCACGACCCAGGTCACCTGTGACACAGACGTGGTGCTACCGGACACCACCTGAGGCATAATTGGTGTTGACCACCCCCGTGACTACATCCGTGACAACCCCTGTGACAACACCAGTGTCACACACTCTGTGCATAACACCGCAGCCCGTGACTCCCGTGATCCGGGGCAGGCGTGTAGGGATACGACCCATGTCACGACCTAGATCACCCGTGACACAGACGTGGTGCTACAGGACACCACCTGTGGCATAATTGGTGGTGACAACCCCCGTGACCAGCACTGTGACCACACCCGTGACTACCCCCGTGTCCACACCCGTGACAACCCCCGTGACTACCCCCGTGACAACACCAGTGTCACACACTCTGCGCATAACACCGTAGCCCGTGACTCCCGTGATCCGGGGCAGGCGTGTCGGGATACGACCCAGGTCACGACCCAGGTCACCTGTGACACAGACGTGGTGCTACAGGACACCACCTGAGGCATAATTGGTGGTGACCACCCCCGTGACTACATCCGTGACCACCCCCGTGACAACCCCTGTGACAACACCAGTGTCACACACTCAGCGCATATAACCGCAGCCCGTGACTCCCATGATCCGGGGCAGGCGTGTCGGGATACGACCCAGGTCACGGCCCAGGTCACCTGTGACACAGACGTGGTGCTACAGGACACCACCTGAGGCATAATTGGTGGTGACCACCCCCGTGACTACATCCGTGACAACCCCCGTGACAACCCCTGTGACAACACCAGTGTCACACACTCTGCGCATAACACCGCAGCCCGTGACTCCCATGATCTGGGGGAGGCGTGTCGGGATACAACCCAGGTCACGGCCTAGGTCACGGCCCAGGTCACCTGTGACACAGACGTGGTGCTACAGGACACCACCTGTGGCATAATTGGTGGTGACCACCCCCGAGACTACATCCGTGACAACCCCCGTGACTACCCCTGTGACAACACCAGTGTCACACACTCTGCGCATTACACCGCAGCCCGTGACTACCGTGATCCGGGGCAGGCGTGTCGGTATACGACCCAGGTCACGACCCAGGTCACCCGTGACACAGACGTGGTGCTACAGGACTCCACCTGTGGCATAATTGGTGGTGACTACACCCGTGACTACATCCGTGACCACATCCGTGACTATCCCATCCGTGACCACCCCTGTGAAAACACCAGTGTCACACACTCTGCGCATAACACCGCAGCCCGTGACTCCCATGATCCGGGGCAGGCGTGTCGGTATACGACCCACGTCACGACCAAGGTCACCCGTGACACAGACGTGGTGCTACAGGACACCACCTGTGGCATAATTGGTGATGACTACACCCGTGACTACATCCGTGACCACATCCGTGACTACCCCAGTGACCACCCCTGTGACAACACCCGTGACAACACCAGTGTCACACACTCTGCGCATAACACCGCAGCCCGTGACTCCCGTGACCCGGGGCAGGCGGGGCAGGTCACGACCTCAGTGAACTACAGTTCGTGAACTGAGGAATAACCTGGTGTAGGAACACCAGATTCCTACCTTAACACTTTGCCGTGGGGGCTAACACTTTGCCGTGGAGGTTACTAACACCTTGCCGTGGAGGTGACTAACACGACCTTGGTTTTGCGGGCCTCTCGCTCGCTAGGTTATGCAGGCCTCTCGCTCGCTCCGTTTTGCGGGCCTCTCGCTCGCTCGTTTTTGCGGGACTCTCGCTCGCTAAGTTTTGCGGGCCTCTCGCTCGCTCTGTTTTGCGGGACTCTCGCTCGCTCTGTTTTGCGGGCCTTTCGCTCGCTAAGTTTTGCGGGCCTCTCGCTCGCTCTGTTTTGCGGGACTCTCGCTCGCTCTGTTTTGCGGGCCTCTCGCTCGCTCTGTTTTGCGGGCCTCTCGCTCGCTTGATTTTGCGGGCCTCTCGCTCTCTCGGTTTTGCGGGCCTCTCGCTCGCTAAGTTTTGCGGTCCTCTCGCTCGCTCGGTTTTTGCGGGCCTCTCGCTCGCTCGGTTTTGCGGGTCTCTCCTCTCGCTCGCTCGGTTTTGCTAAGTTTTGCGGGCCTCTCGCTTGCTCTGTTTTGCGGGACTCTCGCTCGCTCTGTTTTCCGGGCCTCTCGCTCGCTCGGGCATTCCTCTCGCTCGCTAAGTTTTGCGGGCCTTTCTCTCGCTCGGTTTTGCGGGCCTCTCGCTCGCTAAGTTTTGCGGGCCTCTCGCTTGCTCTGTTTTGCGGGACTCTCGCTCGCCTGTTTTCCGGGCCTCTCGCTCGCTCGGTTTTGCATTCCTCTCGCTTTGTTTCCGGGCCTCTCGCTCGCTCTGTTTTGCGTTCCTCTCGCTCGCTCTGTTTTGCGGGCCTCTCGCTCGCTCTGTTTTGCGGGCCTCTCGCTCGCTCTGTTTTGCGGGCCTCTCGCTCGCTCTGTTTTGCGGGCCTCTCGCTTGCTCGGTTTGCGGGCCTCTCGCTCGTTCGGTTTTGAGGGCCTCTCGCTCTCTCGGTTTTGCGGGCCTCTCGCTCGCTAGGTTTTGCGGGCCTCTCGCTCGCTAGGTTTTGCGGGCATCTCGCTCGCTAGGTTTAGCGGGCCTCTCGCTCGCTAGGTTTTTGCGGGCCTCTCGCTCGCTAGGTTTTGCGGGCCTCTTGCTTGCTAGGTTTTGCAGGGATCTCGCTCGCTCGGATTTGCGGGCCTCTCGCTCACGCGGTTTTGAGGCCATACTGTTTGCGTGTTGTTAGTCACCCCCACGGCAAAGTGTTAGTCCCCCCATGGCAAGTTACGTGTTACTCCCCCAATGGCAAAGTGTTTGTCCCCCCTCTGCAAAGTGTTAGTCCCCCCCAACGGCAAAGTGTTAGTCCCCCCCAACGGCAAAGTGTTTGTCCCCCCACGGCAAAGTGTTTGTCCTCCCACAGCAAAGTGTTATTTCCCCCCCCCCAACGGCAAAGTGTTATTCCCCCCCCCCCCCCCCAACGGCAAAGTGTTATTCTCCCCCCCTTCTAACGGCAAAGTGTTGGGAGCGAGTGGCCAAGAGTATTCATCTAATTGTGCTTATGGGGGTTTGGCTCTTTCGGCTCCCTTCCCATCTGTCTTATATCAAATTATTTTTTTTTTGCCACAAAACACACACACACACACACACACGCACACACACACACACACACACACACACACACACACACACACACACACACACACACA